TGTCACTTGATTGTATTAATCAGTATCATTCGAACAATACAATTGCTCAGGCACACTAAAGTCTTTGCATCAGTATACCCAAAAAGGAGGTTTTCATTTCCTGCGAATGTTTAAGTTCAAAAAAAAACGGAGCGCTGAGTTGAGACCTTGTAAAAATCGTGGGAATGGATCGCATCTGTCATTTAAGAGCAATTGGCCCTCTAACTTCATGCGCAGCACCCCTTGTTCGGAGTTATGTGTTAAACTTGTAGTGCCGAAGACATCCGAGCACCCTCTGCGAAAAAAAAGTCATTCGAAACATAACGCATCTCTAGAAAAGAATGAATTGCATGACAGCTTTAATTTGCTTTGTTAGTTCATTCTTGATTCGGCTACTTGAACTTTCTTACCTTTCTGGAATGTCAACATTGGTTATGGGCTCTTCATTTCTCTCAACGTTAAAAGCCTTTGGAGCATTCCTGACAAACTCCGTCTTCATTAGATGTTTCAGACGCTGCTCCGCTTTCGGAGAGTATTCGGCCTACAATTCATCACAAATAAAACTTAGATGCAGAATAATTTTGATTAACCGAAACGCCTAGCATGTTATCTCCCACTGGGATAGAAAACTTGAAGCGCTTCCAGACAATCAGTATGGGTAGGAGACAAGGTGCGACATGGGGGCCAAGATTGTGTAGGAAAAACAACCAACCAAACTGCGCAAACGAAGCCTAACCTCAAAAAATGGCTGTCGTTTGTTCACATAGTTCACTAGAGCCACTCCGGTCAACTTACTAGCTTCAACTGGTCGAGTAAGGAGTTCTTCTGAAAGTCTATGGTTATCCAAACTACTTGAGAATGTTCAATGAACAGTTTTTAAAAGGTATAATCCAGGGAAATTCTTGATTTTAGAGGCTATATATCATTAGTAAAAGACAAACCGCTTGCTTCGATCTTGATTTCGTTCATTGTTGTGAATGAGTTGAAGGGGCAACACCGATTTTAAGAAAGCAACTGCAGTTTTGGGTGTCACTGATCAAGACTTCGGTTTATTCTTCAAAAAAAATCAAAGCTCTGCAGTCTGAATATAGATTGGTGGAAAAAATATCACCATTTTTTTAGGTTTATGAGCAGCCCGGAATTTGAGCCCTCAAAGTCTACTGTGCTCCTCATATATTATTAGGTTGTTCGGAAAGGAATGCGCGCTAAATTTGTCCATTCATTTCTCCCCTACTATGAAAGATTTTTTAGAACGATTCCGTCTAT